CATCTGCTTTGCTCCTTCATCTTCAGGATGTTTTTTACTAATGTTCTTTCACAAACCTCTATTGTATGGAGTTAATTTTGTTTTGTAAATAGAAATTTGAAATAAAAGCAACCTAGAAATGAACTTTGAAGAACTTCTTAATCAAAAAACGGTTCTGATAGTAACTGTGCTGTTTTCTAACATTTTAACGTTCAATTTTCTTTGTCATATTTTTTTAAATGTTCATTATTTCATATTCTATTTTTTTTCCCAAATTAAATTTTGTTTCACAGCTTTTTATAGGTTTTATATATCGTTACATTTTGTTTTTCAAATTTCTCTGTTTCAGATCGACTTTTACAAATGCTTTTATTTTCAAAAACGTTTTACAGATCACATTATCCTGACTTTAGCAGTGGTCTTTCCTCCCGTTTACTGTAAGGGGCAAAATCTCATTTCTATTGTTCTGCTGGATGTTAGCGAAAATATTTTCATTAGTTAATGTGCAAATTAAGAGTGAGCATTTGTATTAGGCTTTCGAAAATGATCTGCTAAAAGCAATGTGAAAAGAAAAGTTCAATTCGTATTGCATTGCTGGAATTCTTGCTGTATATTTAGGGTCTCAATCTGAGAATCTGAAATTTGAAAAAATACTAATATACTAATAATTTAAGAAATAAAAAATCTCGAAAAACGAAAAAAAAGTGAAAAGATCTAACAAAAAAAATAGAAAAGTGAAATTTCTTCGTTTGCAACAATAATGGAAGCAAATTAACTCCATACAGGTGCCTTAATAGAATATCTGGATCTATACTGAGATCAGAGCTCACCTGTGTGTAAACCGTTCTCTAAACAGGTGTTTATCTCAGCATTTCCGACTGAGGAGGGCTGAATGCAAATACAAACATTCATCATATTCTTCTTGCAAATAATAAACAAAAAACAAACTTTCTTCATCTTAAATACACTTTAGATACTAGTTGCTTTGTTACATAAAATCCTGATAAAACAGTCTTAAAATGTGAAGCCCTGTAAAGTGAGAAGGTTGTGAATATATCAGTGCCCTGCACACTTTTAAACGTTGGACTATGGTAAAGACATTCCAACAAGCTGCTTCAATTACCTCCTGCTGAGGCTAAACCCATTTGTATCTCTTAGCTTCCATTAGGCTGCTAAATACATCCCCCCCCCCCCCCCCCACACACACACACACACACACACACATACACACCCCTACATATAAACACAGCAGAGTAAAGTTTAAGAGGCAGATTTGTTTGCAGTTGTTTTCTACTTAATGAAGTGTGTAAACGCCACTTTCGTTCCCATTATTTGCATGGACATAAATCGTCATTTCTTCAACATTTCGAAATCTGCAGCTCATTGACTGCTTTGCTCAGCATTCAAAAGGTGACAGGTATGCCAACTAAAGAAGCATAAATCAACACCAAAAATGCAATCAAGACAGCTACGCAAACATGTCAGCCCCCATTAAGCTTTCAAGCTCACCTCAAGCCTCCATGGTTGACTGATGTGGCTGGCTTATGATGGATTAGCAGACCAAACAACAAAATCTGGCTGATGACTTTCTCAAACGGCGAATGAGCACCTTGTTGTTTGGATTCAAACACGTCGGATTAGGTGGCAGAGAGGGGGCGGAGCTCGGCGGATTCAGCAGTGAGCTGGTTGACAGGTGAGCCAATCATTAACTAAAGCATTCTCTGCAAAGGATCAGTTAATTTTACTGAGATTAGACGTCAGACGATCAACTGTTTTTATTTGATTCAACTACTGACTCATGTTTATGAATTATAACAGATGAGAGAGGATCCATATTTAGGGAGTACTCTATTTCACTGGGTAAAAAAAGGAAAGAAAACCTTATCTGCTCATAGTCCACAAAATGTCCACTTAAACATTAACTGGAAACAAAAATAAGGTTTTCTTTGTGAAGTGTGGGAGAGGTAGTTAATACTTTACTCAGAGGTTTGTTTTCTGGTTTAAAGGGATTTAAAGATGATGAGAATCCTTTGGAGCACAGGAAGATAATGTAATTACAAATTTAAAATATGGCCTAAAACACAAATTACTTCATTGTAAGCCACCTTCAAGGGAAAAATCCTACTTTTTGAAGTGAGGCTCTTGTCAGGGATCTGCAGAAGAGAGACTTCATGTGTTAAACCGCAGTTAATAAAATATTCAGTGTAAATGATTAACCTTCGACATTTTGGGAAGGGTTTCACTAAGAGACCCAAAGCGACAACATGTTTGCCTCTCCATGACAAAACACCTCCCTCTCTGACCACAAGGCCATCGCTTCCCCCAATCTAAATATATATAAACTGCCTGACTGAGAAAAAAGTCTTAACTAAGTTAAGGGATGCCAGCCTCCAATTGGATAATCAAAGAAAAGGCAATCATCTTTCAGCAATTTAACCCTGTGTTAAGAAATGGAAAATGTTCAAAAAGAGTCAAACCACTGGCCTACATCAAGAAGAGAGACAGCAGAAACTAGAGACAGAGCGATACTTTGCCCTGATGATGTTTTTGGCTGATATTTTTTCTTATTTCGCTGTATACATGCACCTTTTCAGATTCATTAGCGCATTCAGCAGCCATGCCAGAAAATCATGTAAAGTGCATTAATTGCCATTCCCTCCATTTACCATCCATTGTTAATGTTTCTTTGGTTTGTAAAATAATTATTCTTCTTTTGTTTAAATTGAGGTGTTGGTAACGTTTATTGAAATGTTAGTTTGAAATGTGTAAATGGAGGAAAAGAGGTTAATACTGGTGTAAAACACAACCAGCCTAGAAAAGATTGACAGCGTAAATCTGGGATTGGTTAAACTGTTGTCATAATAATTAGAATTTGCATTGGCCTAGAATAAAAAAATAAATAATTGGTAATTTTTTTGTCAGAAACGGCTAAAACTGGATTAGGAATTGTAAAAGCATTTAAAACCAGGCACATTGTGGGGATCTATGAGGAGAAATGTGTTCAGAAAAAGTCTTGAAATGATCATGATTGGCCAAATCCAGTCAAAAAAAACAAAAGCAGAACTCAAGGCTCTGTTTAATGGTGAAAGGACACAGAATGGGAAACAAACTAAAGGGATTGGGACTGAAGACTCCTACTCAGTTAAGCTAACTGGGGAAGTAAGGCTATGATTTGTTAAGGAAGATAAAGATTGGAATTTGGAGCAATGGAGGATCATGTGGTCCAGATTTCCCCTGGTCCAGAGAGATGGGAGCAACAAAACCTTTTTCTTTTACTGCTAATGTCATTAGAGACTCTGAGGCCTATAAACAGCAAGTTGTTCAGAAATGCTCCTTTTTTTATTTACACCCAAAACTGTAATTCTGTTGTATTTCATTATTACTTTGGAATATGTCCATGGGCGGTCCTAGATAGGGGCCAACAGGGGCCAGGGCCTCTGTAGAGCCAGTCCTGATCCCTTCTATGGCCATGGATTGGTAGAGAAACAGTAACTACTTCATCCCCTAGATTAATTTTCTTTTTTATCATTACAATTTTAATTTAAAGATGGCTTAATAAACTGCTTCCTTTCAACTTCACCGGTATTGTGATAAGATCACTGTTTTCATCTGGTAGGGTAGAACCTGTAGCTCCAGAGACAAAAGTACTTGATATATAAAACATTGAATTATTGCCCTTATTATTGTTTTATTATTCTGTTCTGTGCCCCTGTGAAAAAAAGACATTCTTTTAGGAGAGTTTGTTTTAAGGCCACTTTTTTTATTTTCTATTATCATATTTTAGTTCTCTGAGACAAGCTGTCTTATTACCAGATATCTTAGCTCACCCATAATTGTTTTCTTCTATTGCTAAAAACAGAAATTCGGAAGAATTCCTTTAAGAAAAAAGGTTTTTGGCCGTCCCCTACAGGTATTCAGTTTGTTGCCTTGTATCTGAGGCACGCTGGACGCGGCTTTACTCGGCTAAATGTGATCAGGCTACAAGTGGAACATTGGGAGTGAGTCAGAGTACAGGGAGCACAGGGGGAGTGAATAGCAGCGGTTAGTTTGATTTGAAGCTTGGGGCAGTTTCCTGGATTCCTGGGTTCTCTCTCTCTCTGGACGAGCTAACAGGTCAATGACCTGCCCACTGGTCTAAAGTATGACTCACTTATCGGCCTCCCTCCCATGCAGACCACTCCTTCCACTTCCACAGCTTGTGAACACCCACAGACATACAATATACAAAGTCTATGCTTCAGACTGTCATATTTTTCCTCCGTTCGTTTTAAAGACCTCATTATGATCCAAGACCCATGAATCATTAGAAATAACTACTAGGGGTGAATTAGTATTCTGCTGGCTGAGCTGCAGCCGCCTTCAGAGGTTAGAGGCTATTAGAGTGTCCGACAGAAACACGGGAGTGGGCAGAGGTCCGATCTCCCCTCAGAGAATCAGGATTGATGGAGCTGATTTGACATCATATCTACAAAAGGAAGTGATAGTAGTATTAATGTTATTCAGATGGCTGTGACTGTGAGGGGGGAAACAGGAAAAGATCACTCACCTAAGGGCTTCCTCTGGGGGATAAAGATGGTTATAATTCAATAGACTGCCTTTAAGCTCAACAATGTCTGTTTAGAAGGAATCCAGGCTGACATAATGACCCATACCTGTGAACCTGCACCACCTCCTGCAGCCCAACAAACCACATTAACTCCTATTATCCTGCACAGGCCAAACCGGTTTTACGATTAGGATAACATTCCAGACAGGCCTGTTCTCTCACAAACCTCTTTGGGAAATACTGAAATCCTTTTCACCTACGCCGTATTGGGAAAGACGAAGAATGCACTGAACTATTTAACTCAGTGGAGCAACAAGCTGATTTAATGGCAGTGAGAAGTATCCAAAGAGAAATCCAAATTCAGCAAGAAATATTTATTTTCTGTATTTACAGAAAAGCAAATTCAGACACTTTTTTAGCTTATTTAAAGTCCAAAGCTGTGAAAATGAGACTAAATGAAATAGTGGCACTGTACCTGCATGGACCATGGTAAAAAGGATATCCAGGGTGAGGTATGTGGTTGCAGTAGCTCGACTGATTCCACATGATGCTCCTGTTCCAAGTAACGATAGTTCACAAGTGCTCAGGATGTTTCCTCTATTTCTAGTGCTGTGGAATGAGACTCCGGCTGCCTGGAGGCACGTTAATCAGCGCCACTTGTTTTGAATTTCGATCGGCTCCATGAGAAGAGAGCTAGAGGTGTCGACGGGTTTGAAGGCAGACGCGACGAGGTGAGAGCGTGAGCCGCGGTGCTGAATCCAGCCAGGGATGAGATGATGCCGGTGAGTCAGGTCTGGACACCTGGAAACGACTCGTCTTGCTCAGCAGAGTCTGGGAAGACCGCCTCAGGAGAGGTGTGAAATCATAGGTTACTGCCTTCGTCCTGCAAGCAGCCAGTCATTTCCCCTTACCTTCCAGGTGCAGTCAGGATACTGGATGCCTCCGAGACCATGTGATGAAGCATGTGTCATCACCTGAAGTCATTCAAAACAAACCAGAGTTTTCAGCTAACAGGCGTAGATTCCCATCCGACAGACTTCAAGATAAACCAGAGCTTTTTTTAATAGTCTCTGACATCAATTACGAGCAGTTTATACCATCTTCTCAACAAGTCTTCTTTCTCTAAACTTCCCAGGTGACACAGCCCGTCTCTCAATGATAGCAGTATGTAAAATCCACAGGGTTCCTCTACTGCATCCACCTTTCCTCTGAGACAGCTGCCGCCGTCACAAGCGTTTATTCTCCAGATTACAGGATCTCCCGTCGGCAGCGGCAGTGAACAGAGCTGATCAACTGAGCGCAGAAACAGAAAGGAAGGGAGAGGGAGAGAAAGGCAGGATATGGCAGCGGGAGAGAGAATCAACCAGGAGAGAGAGAGAAAGAGAGAGCAACGAGGAAGAGGTTATCAAAACGGAGCTGCGTTTTCTTTTCCCGCGAAACAGTCATCTAGCAGGATACACACTGCTGGAGGGGGGGTGTGCACTAAGGCTAGATTATACCAAAAACAGAAGAACGTATTGCTATGTAAATGTTGCCACCTTTAAATGATCACTAATGGTGACCTCTTTACAAAAAAAAAAAAAACATTTTACACTGTCCCAAACTAGAGGGACAGTGTAAGAGGAAAATGCCCTCTGTAAATGACAGACTGGTTAGTAAAGTTTGTTTGGGTTAAGTTACACATGTTTAACAGAACTTACTGACAAGCTCTTCTAATATGATATCATCATCATAATATCTCAGCTGTTCAGGGAACCACGTCTCTAAATGACACGGCTGTGTGCATGAACCTGACTGAAGGAGCAGGTGATCAGCAACTTTAGGTTGGGTTTACACAGGAAATTCCTAGCAACTCAAAAGTAAAAATAGTCTTATGCAGGAAGTTACCAAGTGCCAATGTTTAAAAAGATATTGGAGTCTAATAGGGCGGCTGGAAGTACTACAGCTTGATACACCAGATACAGCATTGGGACTTGCTCAACAGCCGGCCGTGACGTCACAAACCGGTAGGTAGCAGTAGTGTTCTTTGACAAACATGGATGTCTCCTTTAAAGCACATTCAGAGGAAATTACTGTTAACTAAAAACACTTATCATTTATTGAAAAGTATGTAATAATACCATACTTTTGTACTTTCAGAAGTTGTTATTCTAAAAATGATAGGACGTTTCCTTTAATGGAAAGATTTCTGTCAGATTAAGGACAGGGATGTTGCGATCCGATGTCTGCATAGACAAATTGGTCCATTATCAGCAAAAAAAAAAATAAAATATATATATATATATATATATATATATATATATATATATATATATATATATATATATCAAACCACATCCACCTGCATGTAAAACCTCGTATATAAACCAGCTAATCGTATCGGAAATTAAAAAGCTGTACGTCCCAATACAGCGATACTATTATTGCAGCACAGATTCTGCTGATACCGATATTGACCCAATACGATAAGACATGAATAATGAATAATCTTAATACTTATGTTATTGTGTAGCATATTAGAAAATGTATGAGAACAACTGAGCCCTTTATCATTGACTGATCAGTTACATAATCTTTAAACTGAAGCAAAGTTGTTCTACCAGCTGGCAGGCTGATTTAATCCAATATTAGTTATACGGTTTATACCAAACCAACTTCAGATATCGGCCAATATTCATGCAATGCCTGTATAGTACTGGAAATGATAAAGTTGTATTGTTACATCCATAATTCATCCCATACACATTCAGTTATCCAGCTCATTCATTTGATCCGACTTAAATTCTTTGCGCCAAATTGTGATAGAATAAACTTTTTATCTAAATGCTTCAATATTGGTATTTTAGGTTTAAGCGGCATTTTTTCTTGGAGTCGCTGTTGTTAGATTTTAGATTTTTCTTTTTCTTGCCCATATGAACAGCCATGGGGTACCAGCATATATATTAATACATTTGAGAAAATTATTATCAGTTTGTAGTACAAAAGTGAAAGATTAAAGTAATGATGATAATTTAAATTTCCTTCTTTCTTCTTAGAAACTGGGATTATTCATATCAACAGGAAAGCTATATTGTTCACTCACTGAGTAACCTCTGCAGAACCTTTTTTCAGCCACACCAGCTTTAATTTTATCTATCCAGACATCTTTAATATATCCTTAATAGGCAGGAAGAAGCCTTATAAGTCATAAATTATTTTTTTTATCCCTCAATTATCTAGTGAATGATGAGGACTTGTTTAATGCTGCTCAGAAGTCTTGGTGGTTAATAAGTAATGTTTTGCGGCTAAATATCACCTTCAGCTGGAGCCACATCACGACTCATCTCTCTTAGTTATCAGCAAAGATATTTATTTATATTCAACCTGTCTGGCTTTCTTAGTATGCATATTACATGAAACGGTTGATTGTAGCCCACTGGTCAGGGAAGTAATTGATTTTCATTGTGTTCTGAATTGTGACTAATAGCATTTCAACTATATGATGAATTTGTATTTAGTTTAGATAAAAATCTCCAAACAAAAGGACTTGACATTTCTCTACAAACTGAACCTGTTTTCCATTTTGTATGTTGTTTTTTTACACCAAATAATCTCTTCTCAGTTTAACAAAGACTGGCTGCTAAAAATAACCATATAATCTTGCCCAAAGCTAACTCACCAGAAAAAGAAAGAAAAAAAATGAAGGACAATGGCTTACTTCACTGGCATCCTTTTAGCTAACTGATAAAGTCTTGTTTGCTGCATGAAAATACACAGTTTCAAGCATGAAAAGACATTCACGAAATATCTAAAGTTGATAAAAACAAATTCAGCTGACTGGTGACCAGCAATTCAAACATTACAGGATCTGATAAGCTCAACAAACCAAAGCACAACCAGATCCCTTCAATAACAAACGAGGTCCAAAGCTTTTTTTGTTAGCAGAGAGGTGTTAAGAATTACGTAGAAGAAACCAAGGATATGCAGCTATTCAAGGTTCATCTGAGGTTCATTCAGGCTGTGTGAGAGAGCAAGCTTTTGAGAGGAAAACAGGAAGGCTAAAGTTCTGGGGGAAAGCTGTTCTGTTTATCAGGTAGACCTTAAATTTCTGGCTATCTGGGAACAAAATGGGTTTTCAAATGTTGGCGGCCTTTCGTCCCTACACTCAAATTTAGAACTCGATACTGGGGAAACAAAAACAAGAATCAACACCTAAAACCATTTTAGATATTTTAATTGAAATGTATCTAAATAATAACGATTTAGAACATAAACTTAACTTGAAATGTCTTAAGTGTTGGCCTGGTGGGTTAGAGCAGTGTGCTTGTGCTCTGACAAGTTTTCAAGTACCCAGTTTGATTCCCAAAGCCTCCACTCTGGCTCCCTGAGCAAGGCCCTTAACCCCTGATTGCTCCCCAGGCGCCACGCATTAAAGGGATTTACATTAACTAGGGCAGGAACATCTGCAATAATGTTTAAAATACTTGTACCAAAGCTTTTCATTAAGACTTATTTTATTATATATTTTTGGGTGAAATTTGGTTTTAAAACCCTTTGGGCTCAACCGGTTTCAATCTAAGCCAAACTGGGGAGTCGACTGCTGTTGCAATATGATGTTAAATGAAACATTATGTTTTGACCAGCGGAGGTCTGACCATCTAAAATCATGCAGCCACTAAAAACATTTTTACTATGAACTTTGTTGTGATCAAAGTAACAACATGAAAGTTCTTCAGTGATAAAGTATAACTAATGCACAAATACGTGCAAAAAGTTATGTTTCATTCATCTTTCAAATCTTGCAGCATTTCACCAACTTACTCCCCGCTTGCATCACTATCCTGTGTGGATTAATAGACTAATGGTTCATGTGAAGGCCTGTGGCACTTTTGCAATCAAACTAGCTCTTCGTTCATTACAATTGATGATATACACAGGGTCTAAAATATGGAGAGAAAGAAATGTCTTTTAAAAAGAACAGAGGGGCTGCCTTTGCCCTTTTGCATTTGGTTGGTTCCTTTTATACTAAATAGAAATAGGACAGATTTTACAGCAAGAGGAGCAACATTTATAGCTATAAAAAAAAATCAACCTAATATAGGGATGTGTGTGGCATCAATTCAATTGGGTTTGCTTGGCTGAGGTAAGGGTGTGGCATGGTTGGGGTCAATTCAAATGACCTCTGATGTTACTACTTGTGGAAATGTATTCAAAAAGCCTTAAGGACTATCATCATCTCTTGGTTAATTGGACTGGAGCAATACGTACTTTTAAGGAGTTGAGAATCCAGAAGGAGAAAGGCAGACAAAAGAAAGGAAAGATGGGTGGACCTAATGTGAGCGAGAGAAGGGAGAGAAGGAGGAAGAAAGTGAGGAGCAAGGGAGGGAGAAGAAAAAAAAGAAGGGGAGAGGTGTAAAAAAACAACGAGGTTGGCGTGTATATCCTTCACTGTTTTGTTGTAGAAATTTCAATCCAGCACAACCTTATCAGGGTAGAAAACACAGGGGACCCTGCTGCTGCTGCATCTTCTCTCTGTCTCTGTGTTTGTTATCCCTGTTTGAAGAGGCAGGTGGACACAATCCGCCCCCGCACAGACGCATTCAAACAAGAGCCGTGTTCCACATTTTCAGCAACGCCGTCTACAGAGGTGAGGAAAACTTAAAGGGACATTATTCCAGCTTATGCACATTCGAACACATGCAGACGAAGAGAGAACAATACCCCACACCACCACAGGAAAACAAGAATGGTCCAAACCAACAAACATGCACACAGCCTTCAGCATAGATGCAGAAGATGTCGCCTTGCAGACATTTGACAGCTGTGTTGAATCATTATGTCAGTGGGTGTGATGGCAAGAGTGCGATTGGGCCTGTGGTTCGGCTTATCTGGGTTTTACAGACTGAACCCCCATCGCAGCTGTTTTTAAAATGCACAAACACATTCTCCAAACACACCTTGACTGGCTAAAACCTGTTCAAGGTCACCGCTGAGCTTCCAGCTAAGAAAATTCGTAAAAAAAAAAACACTTTTATTTTGCCCCCGGAGCAAATATGAACCAGCAGAGAGGGCAGATTAACCATTCAGTAACTCTAGATTTCCATTTCAAACTCTCATCTTGAAGCTGATTTTGTATTTAAGATTGTTTTCTTCAGCAATTCCATGAAATGAAGGCAGACGCAGCAACAATCACAAGACATTTCCATCAATCGTCTCCTTACTGACAGCTCTGAACATTAAAAAAAACAGCATGACCAAAGTAAAAAGCTGGGCGAGCTTCCAATATCAGTACTGCCTGCTTCTACAT